CTATGCCAGGGCCCCGGGCGCTCACCTCTCGCAGGGAGCCCTTGCAGCGCAGCAGTTTGTAGAGAACGGTGCATGGGATGCAGAGCATGGAAGAGAGGGCCAGGGCCCAGCCGATGGCGTCACCCCACCAGGGGTACACGTAGGTCTGGTTGTACGTCAGCTGCTGGTAGTTCACCACGTGGAAGAGGAAGATGCCCTGGGTTGCAGGAGGCAGCCATGAGACCATGGGAAGTCTCCTCCTCCCCTGGGCCCAGTCAGCCCAAGGACCGCAGCAGGGTGGGCGTGAGGGCCAGGACTCCTGCCTGCGCCACGAGGTGGGTGCAGGACAGAGCTGCCTCCCTGCAGCCACAGGGCAGACCGGCGCATGTGCCCCTGTGGGGGTGCACTCACCACGCAGACCAGGGGAGTGATGACGGCCCAGCACCACTTCATGAAGGGCAGGGGCCGGTAGCCGATCATGCGGGCCACATCATCCATGAAGCGGTCGGCTCCTGTGGGATGAGCACAGCGGGTTTGCTGGGGACCCAGTGCCATGCCCCGGGCACTCTGTCCCAGCCCTGGCACCCCATCCCCCGGCCCTCACCATAGACCCAGGCGATGACGACGCACTCCCAGAAGGCCTGCCACAGCAGCGTGATGCCGCTGGCCGAGTAGTAGTCGAAGAGCTGAAAGACGTACATGCCGCCCTGGGGCAGCGCAGCCATCACCGCCAGCCCCACCCGGCCCTGCACGGCACCCACCCCTGCGCCCAGCTCGTGCCCCTACCTCGGTCACCATGGAGAGGTCGATGAGGCAGCAGAGCAGGCAGCACAGCGCGGCCGTGAACTCCCGGCGCAGCGAGCCAGCGCCCGGCTGCGGGAACAGGTCCAGGATGCCCGTGATGAAGCCCTCGACGCCCACGAACTGCACAGGGCAGAAGGGTCAGCGTGGCACTATGCCCCCACATTCCCCCCGCAACTCCTGCTCACCCTGGCCCACAGCCCCTCTTCCCCGGCCGCACCTGGCTGTCGAGTCCCAGCACAAGCAGCATGAAGAAGAAGAGGGTGGCCCAGAGCGGCGACAGGGGCATCAGGGTCACAGCCTTGGGGTAGGCAATGAAGGCCAGTCCAGGTCCTGCGGGAAACGGTTGGGTAAGGGGGTGGCAGGAGCAGGCCTGGCATAGCCCTGCAGTGCTGGGAGCTGCCGCAACACCAGGCCGGAGTCAGCACTCACCCGACTCGGCCACTTTGGAGATGTCGACGCCCTGCTCGGACGCCATGAAGCCCAGCACTGAGAAGACCACGAAGCCAGCGAAGAAGCTGGTGGAGCTGTTGATCACGGCCAGGACATAGGCGTCCCTGCAGGAGACGGGAAGGTCAGTGCCAGCAGGGAATGCGCCACGTGTGGCCTGACCCCCCCCAGCGCCGGACCTCACCGGTAGCAGTTGTTGTGGAACCGGTTGTAGCTGCCCAGCGCGGTCAGGGCACCCAGCCCAATGGCGTAGGAGAAGAAGATCTGCGTGCCGGCGTCGATCCACACCTGGGGGCACAGGAGGGTCACAGCCCAGGGGTGGCCCCAGCTCTGGCCCACCCCACTCCACCCCAACCCTCCCCGCTCCAGCCCTACCAGCCACCCCTCACCTGGGCTTCAGCCAGCTTGGACCAGTCGGGCTTCAGGTAGTAGACGATGCCCCCCAGCGCCCCAGGCAGTGTGACACCGTGCACCAGCAGCAGAATCAGGACCACGTAGGGGAACAGCGCTGTGAAGTACACGACCTGCCGGAGCAGGCGTGGGTCAGGCTGGCTGCACTCGGCGCTGGGCAGGGGCCCTTTCTGGGGCAGGCTGCAGCTGCCTGACCTGGGGGCGCAACAGCCCCAGCCACATCCCCAGGGCTCATCCCACACCGCTGTCTTCACTTGGGGAGCCTGTGGCCCCACCCTGCCCCTGCCTTGCGGGGCTGCTGGGTCCCTTGGGCAGCAGAGCGGGGGCCAGGACAAGTGGGCACTAGCAAGGCGCTGGGAGCAATGTGGTGCCAGCCAGCTGCTGTCCCAGGGTTACCTCTGAGCCAGGTGCAATGCCGACCCAGGGGCCGGGACTCTGGTCCCTGCCAGTGGCACCGCCCTGCCATCTGCCCGTGTCGGGGTGCGGGAGTCTGAGGGGCATGGCAGCGCTCGGGGGCAGAGGGCCAAGCCCTGCAGAGCCCCACCTCCAGCAGGAGCCCAGGGGATGCTGCAGCTCAACTGGCTGGCGCCCGGCCCTGGCAGCCCCTCGGGGCGGGGTGTGCGCAGCACGGACCTCACACTGGATCTCGTGGCTGCGTCCCTGCCGCCTGCCCGGGCGGCCGTTACCTTCCCGGTGGACTTGACGCCCTTCCAGATGCAGAAGTAGACGATGAGCCAAGTGGCCAGCAGGCACAGCACCATCTGCCAGTGCAGCTCCCCTGGCTCGCCCAGGCCCCCCGAGAGCCGCAGCACCTTGTTCCTGCAGCGGGCACAGCGCAGCACGGCCAGCTCAGCAGGCGGCTCCTGCCAGACCCCCTCGGCCCTCGCCCACCCCCGGCCTGGGCACTCACTCCCAGAACTCGATGACGGGCGAGCGCTTGCCGGCCAGCTCGGTGCAGCTGAAGTTGGAGGGGCCGGCGCTGCTGTTGGTGCCGTTGGGGCACAGGCCCAGGGTGAAGAGCTCGGTGCAGCGCTCCGTGTTCCAGGGGTGGCCGCAGGTGGCCCAGGGCAGCGTGTCCGTGAGCGAGTGGGCCAAGTAGAAGAGCCCCCAGACCAGGATCATGATGTAGTAGGAGTTGCAGAAGAACACGATGACCATGGAGGCCAGGCCCAGACCTGGAGGTGTGGGGGCACATCAGAGCCGGCAGGCCTCAGAGCCGGAGCCGGAGCCGGCTCCGATGGGCTGGGCTGGGCTGGGCTGGGTGCGTGGCCCCCGCACGCACCTTTGAAGAGGGGGGCGATGTTCCAGGCGGCGATCCCGCCCTGCTTCATGAACTGGCCCAACGCCACCTCCAGGAAGAAGACGGGGATGCCCCCCACGAAGACAATCAGCAGGTAGGGGATCAGAAAGACGCCTGCGGGGGGACACGCATCAGCCCCTGGTGCGTCCCGACACCTGCGCGTTGGGACGGGCAGGGGACTGGGGCCAGGCCCAGCAGCACCCGGCTCCGAAACGTGGGCAGGCAGCCGCGCCCCTCCCCCCCAGGCCCCCTGCTCCGGCACGCTGCGCCAGCCGCCTGCTCGCGGATCTAGGTCAGAGCTGGCAGGAGCGCGGGAGCAGGCACGTGCCCAGGGGTCTGGCCTGGGCCGGCCGCCTGCGGGCGTGCGGGATTCTCCCACAATGCACCAGGGCAGAGCCCGGGCCTGTGGATGTGGTGCTGGGGCAGGCGGGGGGGAGCACGGAAGCAGAAGAGCGCTCCGGGGGGCGCGGAGACGGCTGCTGTGGAAACGGGGAGGCAGGCGGGGCCGGGGCCGGGGCCGGGGCAGTGCGGGAGCGTGGCCAGCCCTCACCTCCGCCGTTCTTGTAGCAGAGGTAGGGGAAGCGCCAGACGTTGCCCAGCCCCACGGCAAAGCCCACGCACGACATGATGAAGTCCATCTGCCGCGTCCAGGTCTCGCGCTCGGGCACGGGCATCTTCACGGGCGCCGCGGGCACCACTAGCGGTGCAGTGACGGCCCGCTCCTCGGGGCCCGGCTCGCCCGGCCCCGCGCCCTCCACCTCGGCTGCCTCCGAGCACCTGCTGCCCTCTGCGGAGACAAGGCCGGGCCGGGCGGGCGGCTGTGGGGACCAGGACCCCCACGGGCCCGGGCCCCGCACCCCTGGGGCCAGGCGCCATCGCTGCCTTGGTCATGGGAGCCCTGCCCACGGGGTCCGCCAGGCTAGGACTGGGGGCACTGGGAACCCCCCACCAGGCTGGGACTGGGGACCCCCTCTGCCAAGCTGGACTGGGGGCACTGGGAACCCCCCACCAAGCTGGGACTGGGGGCACTGGGACCCCCCATCAGGCTGGACTAGGGACCCGCTCTGCCAGGCTGGACTGGGGGCACTGGAAACCCCCCACCAGGCTGGGACTGGGGGCACTGGGAACCCCCCACCAGGCTGGAACTGGGGACCCCCTCTGCCAGGCTGGACTGGGGGCACTGGGAACCCCCCACCAAGCTGGGACTGGGGGCACTGGGACCCCCCATCAGGCTGGACTGGGGACCCGCTCTGCCAGGCTGGACTAGGGGCACTGGGAACCCCCCACCAAGCTGGGACTGGGGGCACTGGGACCCCCCATCAGGCTGGACT